GGGGTCACCGGGGGGGTCAGGGGTCACGGCAGGGGGGTCAGGGGTCACCGGAGGGAGGTCAGGGGTCGCGCCCTCACCGTCTGCGCCTTGCCCAGCTCGGCCTCCAGGCCCTGGACCCGCTGCCGCAGCCCGCTCAGCTCTGGGGGGAGGGGGGTCACCACGGGGCCCCGGCGTCCGGGCACCCCCCCTCCCCCACCACGGGCCCCGGCGTCCGGGCACCCCCTCCCCGACAAGGACCCCCCGGTGCCCCCCTCAAAACGGGCCTCGGCGTCCGGGCACCCCCTCCCCAAAGGGGTCCCAGTGTCAGAGCACCCCCCAGGGGCCCCGGCGTCCGGGCACCCCCTCCCCCCCGGGGCCCCGGCGTCCGGCACCCGCGTTGCTCCTGCGCAGCTCGTCCGACAGCCGGTAGTTCTCGGCCCGCAGCTCCAGCAGCTGCCCCTGCACCGGGAGCGGGGGAGACGATGGGGCCCCGGCGTCCGGGCCCCGGCGCCGCCCCCGCGGCGGGGCCCCGGCGTCCGGGCCCCCCCCGCCCACCTGCATGCGCTGGAACTCGTCGTCCGACAGCGCCTGCGCCATCTTGGCGCCGCGACCGGAACCGGGCCGGTAACGCTGGAAAAGGGGGAGGCGCCTTTAAGAGCGGGGCATAGAGACGCGGGCGCCCGGCCGGAAGGAGCGGCGCCCGGAAGCGGGTGCACGGAGAGAAGGGGCGGGGCACAGGAAGCGGAAGGAGCGGCCATAGAGAGCGAGGCCTCCCGGCCGGCGAGGCGCCAGGAAACCATCGAGACGGCGGCTCCCATAGGGGTCCCTGGGCCTATAGGGCCCCCCGGGTCTGTGGCSCCCCTCAGCCATGTAGCCAACATGTGACCCCCTATGGGCCCCATACGCCGCCTCGCCACTCTGTATGGAGCCCAAAGGCCGGCATTGTTCAACACACACGTATACGGTGTGAAATACGGTCACATGTTCCCCCCATTTCTATAGGTTCTCGAGCMGCTTTAGCCGCCTCCCGGGTCCCTCGTGTTTCTATAAGGGCTCCCGGCAGCCGCCCGGCGCTATGGGGCGCATAGGGCCCTCCTCGCCGCTATAGGGCACACAGGAACCCCCGAACTATGGATTCCATAGCGCCTCCCCACCGCCATAGGGCCCCATAGGACCCCACGTCC